GCTACTGGTTATAAGCGAAACCAGTGTTCGCAAAATCAAACCAGAACGCTTAACTGGATATGGGCCCGGAAGCGGTTTAACTGGCCTAACCGGTAAACCGGCCGATTCAACCATTCTAACTAGGGAACTCCCGGGTGGTCGAAAAAGTGTTGAAAAAATAAAAAAGATACACAAAAAACTACTAAAATATGAAAAGTATATAAAGAATGATTAAAACAAAACACATTCAAATAAAGTTGAAAATTAATTAAAAAAAAGATTTTAACAAATAGGGTCAAGCAGAGAGATCAAAGTTCCATTTAATCTCTTGGGATAAAGTTTGCCTACCAAGACAATAGGGAGGCCACAGGATCAAAATCCTAAGAAAACATACCCAGGCTCTTCTAGGTAAATGGTGGTGGCATTTGGCCACCCAAACTGATTCTCTATCGGCACAAGTCGTGCGGAACAAATACAAGATCCCCGAAGGGACATGGGTGCCAGAACCAAGCAATTGCAACAACGCCTCAGGAGCGTGGAAATCCTTCTCATCTTCCCTCTCCGTCTTCAAGAACTTCATTCGATTCCATCAGTGTGAATCTGGTCGGCTATCTAGCTCGGACACACTCCCCAAAGGGACCTCTATCCCTCCCTTTACCACATTGCTTCAAACAAAGAATCGATAGTCGCAGAAGATATGGCAGTGGTGGGAAATCGAAGGGAGTGGAATCCCTCATTCAGAAGGAACCTAATCGATGAGGAAACACTACACTTTCTCTCCCTGTCAGCAACCCTACACTCCTCCTACATAGCAATACAAGGGAGGGACATGTTAGTATGGTCTCTCGCACCCTCTGGTATGTTCTCGGTTGCATCCTTTTATAAAAAACTTATTCAGCGACCCACTTTTCCACACAATCCCTCCTCGATTTTATCAACGGTGTGGTTTACCACTGCACCCCCCAGAGTAAAGTTCTTTAACTGGATAGCAGGCTCGTAAAGGACCCTTACAGTGGATCAGCTCCAAAAAATAGGCATTCCCATCCCCAATAGATGTGTTTTATGTCAATGTGAAGAAGAATCAAACTCACATCTTTTCATTCATTGCAATATGGCCCATGACATTTGGGGTCATATATTGCAGCTTTGCAGAGTTCCATCGGTAATGTCATCAACAATCAAGGACCTCCTATCCTATTACCCTGCCACACATTGGCTCAAGGCAGAACGAACACTTTGAAAGGCAGCAGTAGCAGCCACAATTTGGAATATCTGAAAAGAGAGAAATTCCAGGACATTCCAAGGAAATGTTACTGAAGGTCCAACCTTACTCCACAAAATTACTTCCTCAGTAATTTTTTGGGCAACCAACAACCGATTCTTTTCAGGGATCACCGCTAACACTTTTTTAAGTCATTGGAGAAACATCATGCGCCATAGTCCTCACAAAAGAAAGAGATCCCACAACTGGTAACCTCCCCCACAAGGAACAATCAAACTTAACTTTGATGGTTGTTCCATGGGAAACCCCAGTCATGCCAGAGTAGGAGGAGTTTTCAGAGACTACAACCGCACAAGTTTGTTCACCTACTCTGAATACTTGGCATTCAAGATTCTCAGCATGCCGAAGCTGTGGCTATTCCATTGGGCATCAAGAGCTTCAACCGATCTTGGGGGTAAAACCTAATAGTGGAGGGAGATGCTAGAAATATAATATCATGGGCAAGAGGGACTTCCTCTCCTCCATGGTATCTTGCTTTCATCTTTGACGAGATCGTTGATATTTGCAGGGATTTAAACGTCTCATGGACGCATACCTTGAGGACATAAAATGAGCTAGCCGATCTCCAGGCAAAGGACGGGGCCAAGGCTCTGGGTGAAGCCTCTATCTTCGAACCGCACCACAGAGGGACCACAATGTAACACTGTGTGGCCTGCTATTTTGCTTGCTTAAGATCACAGACTGACAATGTAAAGGGGCAGTACTAGTATAAGCCCATTTTTTGTAATCTCATTGTATACTTTGTATAACATTGGATAGATACATACAATCATTTTGTATAGGGTCGGTTGACCTAATTTTTACGGAGACTCCTAGCATGGAGGGACACTCGGTTCAAACAAACCATGTAAAATATTTATAGAAATACATTTAACTTTATCAAAAAAAAAAAGTAAAAAAGTGAGTATTAATGACAAAAACAATTTTTAATCTTTACCATAATGTAAAGAATATTAAAAAATGCATTACAAACAAAATTCCTTATTTTTAGGAATTCATATACATTTTTTGAAATTTTTTTTTTAAGTACCGATCAATCACCAAAACCTCCCAAAACCGGGACCGTCCACTAGCCGATTCCGATCTAACAGAGCGATTAGCGGTTAGATCGCTCGGTTTTTCTAGCAATGAGTGAAACTAGAGTACATTCCAGTTGTTGGCACACACCTAGTAGGAATCCGCTCACTTCGGAGAGGCATAATAAGCTTATTTACATTTATTACAACTTGAACCTCCGAGAGCGACAAATAAGAATGAAGATTGAAGACTACAACCTGATCGACCTAGATACAATTTTTGTCACAAATACAACAGAACAATAAGTGGTGGAGGAAGAGAAGCCAGTGTTATGCAAGAGAGTATTCCTTGAGGCAATTGGCAAGCTAGATGAAGAAGAAGGGTGAGGAGCAAGAAAGAGGAAGCAGCCTACCAACATATCCACAATTTGTTGGAGATACAGGTGGTGTTGCACAACTGTTGAAGGAGAGTGAGGACGGGGTATGGGGAGAAATGAAAGAGATGATGATTCTGAGGCCACCCTATCCCAACCAAGACATCCACAGCCCGAGACCAACAGCAAGAGGGTGGGGGTGAGCACGAGGGATGGACTTCGGGGATTTTGGGCTAAGACCACAGCAAATCACAAACCCCTAGGGATTTGGGCATAGTTACCTGGACACTAATGTGGATGATTTGTTCATAGATCGACTCAATGTATTGTCTCACCAATTCAATGAGTGGCCTGACCAAGATGAAGAATAACATCGTCTTCCATGTTGGTATTAGGTTGTATTACCAGAATTGTATGCTTTATTGTAATCCATGTATGATTATATACTTCATCCAAGATGATTGTATACTCTTCTTATGAGATGTGAATCTAATGGTTAACAAACATTTATACAAGGAACAATGTCTCAATATTCACATATTGATGCAAAATAATGAAAGTCTACCCCATTTCTCTTTAGAATCCCAAAAAACGTATTTCTAATGATTTGTATTTTTTTTTCCCAACCAATCCACAGATATGGACCGTCGATTCACTGCTCTAGAGTGGTTTTTGGGTTGCCCAATCTAGGTCACGAATTCGTTTTTTAGAACACAGTAAGAAAGTGATTGTGAATGACACAAAGTAGAGACCAAAAAACCCTTGAAGTTGTTGGGTGGTGGGTAATTTTTGCCAACTTTTAGCCTAGATTTATTTCATTTCATAAAGCAACTTGTAGAGGTGTGGCATCCCACCTATATATAAAGATCAGCGCAATTAATGTTGTGTGGCACCTCTCTTCTTTGTCCTCTTTGAAATTAGCATTTGGGAACTTTTTATTTCCTATGCATCTATTTGGAATGGGCCTTTTACAGGAGTACTGACCAGATTGGGTAGTGAGTGCATCATTCCATCTATGCATCTAAAGCAGCAAGCTAGCACATTGGGCCTGAGGAACCAGCATACCAGTTTAATCATGTCCATAGATTCCAAGCCTTGTTTATGAGAGTTCAGATTCCAAGCAAAGTTGGTCTCACAAAAGGTAAGTGAAGAGAACCACACCTATTACAGCAATTTTTTAATATCCTACATCAAAACTTGCAATCTTTGCATGAGAGTCAAGATCTAAAAGAGTCATTCGTCAAACTGTGTGAAACTTAGCAACTCTTAGACATTGTATTGATCATCTTCTCTCGCCTAATGATTAACGAAAAGCATCTCACATGTCAGGTACTCAAAACCATGTCTCTAACTGCCAAGAAACTGAAGCCATTGCTTTGGCAATGCAAGGTCATCAGACTGAAAGATTCCTAGAAATTGATCAAACCAGAAGATCAGAGCCACTTTACTTTATACGCAAAAAATCCTTGGTTATTGCATGGGGAATGTGAAGAAGAGCATGAACTATTCCAGTGTGCACAGCAGGAAGTAGTGTCTCAGTTCACATGGAAATGAGGCACAGATCAGCATCATATAATTCGGGCTAATCATTACTATGGGTAGGTGGTAGAAACTAAAATTGGGCTTTGTAATTGGTTCATCTTGGGACATCTAGCAATGTTGAAGGATAATATGATCATCTTCAATTTGATCTTGTTGAGGGATTAAGCAAATTCCAACAACTGATAACGAAAAGAAAAACAAGACCCAAAAGATGCAAGCTACTACTTTACTTTCCTGCTTTTATTTATTTTCATTTTTTTTATCTGCTGCAATTGAGGTGATCAAATGAATGTAATAAGTAATGATTTTGAAATGGAAAGTTTTTGGCCATCCCATAAACATGCTCTCCCATAGAATTTTCAATTTACTACTCATATACAACAAGAGGACTATAGCTATGAAAACAGGATGGAATATCCAGTTTTGTACTCCTCCAAAATCACAAGTCAATTATAATGATGAAACACATAATTCTCCCAAATAAAGTTGTAGTTTGTGTATAAACAGCAAAGACTCTCCAAAGTCTAGCAATTCTACTATTAGCATAATCTAAAGTTAAGGATTGTCTAAAGACCACTCATTTTAATGAATCTAAGTTCAGTTACCAAGATGTCCAGGACATAGGCCCTAATAAATGCTCTGAAACAATTCACACAAACATCATTCAACGCATTTTCATCTTTTAAAGGATCCCTATTTAACAAACCATGACAAAAAAGGGCCCATATATAAAAAAGCAGTCACCAAAAAGAGATGCAATTTCTCAAAGTAATTTCCAAAAACAAAATAGAAATAAGGGTTTCACACCTTTTGATGGATTTAACGAGATCAGCTGCAGAAGGGTGGCGCATCCTGTCCAAGAAGTCATGGCAAGTAAGAGGAGCAGTGGCCGCACTGAGAAAATCTGAATTCTCCATTAATAAACAAAATCTTCAGCGAACCAGACAACCTCCAAGCTCCTAAAGTTCACACATGACCATTTGAAACGTAGAACCGTCTAATGAAACCGACCATAGAAGACTCTGCAGAAAACCCTAAAATGCAACTTATTCCGACTGATTTTGCTTCTGAATAGAATGAAAAAGGAGAGTGTGATATAAGAAAGAAAGAATAGTGTGGGTTATGCGCTATTGGACATAGAAAGAGGTAGTCCTAGGTTTTGGATCCCGGGCTCCAAAGCCAATGCGACGCGTCAACAACAACAAAACCTCGAATTGTTGGAAGCGCATGAATCACTTAAGACTCTGGTAAGGTGATTGGTCTTCGAAAGGGGAACAAGAGAGAGACGATTACAATCAGAATAGGGAATCCAAGAGAGAGACTGCTATGGTGACCACAGTTCGTCCATGAAAAATTAAGGGAAAATAAAAAAATAAAAAATAAAGAATACTTTTTATGCAACTTATCCGGCTAACATTCTCTCACTTTTTAAAAAAAAAACAAACTCCCTATGCAAATAACCCCTTATCCCAAAAATTAAAAAAAAGCACAACTACCCTTACTTTTTTTACCCATTACCCACACCTCTCTCCATGTTCAAGTGCGTTCCGACACGGTAACCCACCGCTCTAGCACTACGTAAGTGGGCTCTGGCATTCCGAGTCATAAGGCTTCGGTACCGTTTAAGTGTACTTCGCTAATGTGTTATGGGAAGGGCACAATATTTCGTTAATGTAATACAACACTCCGACACTGTGTAAGTATACTTCGACAGTGTAACATAGCGCTTCGACACAACGTAAGTGCGCTCTGGCATAATAGCATTATGACTGACAAGGCTCCGGCACTATTTAAGTGCACTCTGGCAACAAGAAGGGCATTTTCGTTTAAAAAATGAACTTTTTCCCTTGAGGTTATTTGCATAAAAAGTTTGGTTTTTTGGAAAAAAGTGAGAGAGAAAGTTAGTTGGGGTAAGTTACATAAAATGTATATTTTGGGGGGCTTTTGTCATTTTTCCAAAAAATAATGAGAGAGAGAAAAAAATAAAGGAAAATAAACAATAAAAAAACAACAAAACAAAACACAAAGACTAAAGTTTCTATGCAACTTATCCCAACCTAACTTTTTCTCTCACTTTTTTCTCCAAAATAGACTTTTTATGCAAATACCCCCAATCAAAAAAATATATTAAAAAAAAATACCTAAACTACCCTCTCTTAACTACGACTCTCTCTCCTCTATTCCACCAAAATAGGGGGCTCTGGCACTGTATACGTGTGGTACGGCAATAGCACTCCAGCATTGCGGTCGGGCAATAAGGCTTCAGCACTGTATAAAGTGTGGTACGGCAGTAGGGCTCCGGCACTATGTAATATACAGTCCGGCAATTGAAAATGGTGGTCCAGTAGTCGCAAAGGGTGGTCTGGCAATTGCGAACGGCGGTCCAGCAGTCGCAAAGGGCGGTACCGTAGTTGCAAAGGGCGGTTCAACCGTTGCAAAAGGTGGTCCGGCAATTGCAAAGGCCGTCCGGCACTTGTGCAGTATGGCAATGTGATGGTGTGCTCCAGCAATGCGCTACTAGTCCAAAAGTCAATGTTCAAAACTGATTTTTTTGTATATGGGAAGGGCATTTCTATAAAAAAAAAATGAACTTTTTCTCTTGGGGTTATTTGCATAGAAAGTTTGTTTTCGAGAAAAAAGTGAGAGAAAGATTTAGGTTGGTGTAAGTTGCATTAAAAAGTACGATCTTGGGGTTTTTTGTAATTTTCTCAAAGGTTAATGACAACGTGCGTGCCAGAGAAAGAGGGAGGTGTGATAGGTTTGATTGATGATCAACATCAGAGGTACGGTGAAAGATTTCTCATATGGGAAATATACAAAAAGCCGGCCATGGACCTCATGATTAATCAATCAACGGTTGAGATGAGCCAACGTTCCAATAAAAAAAGTAGCTCATATCCAAATTAACTCGAGGGAAAAGACATAAATCTAAGCTTGCTTGGGTGTGGTTTGTATAGAGCTGGGGCTCTAAACAATCCACGTTGAGCACACGTTCAAATAGTGAGTATCGTGAAATGTGGTTTCAATAATGGAAATTTTTGTGATCATCTTAAAATATATATTTCATCTTTATTTATAAAATTTAAAGTTTCAAAAATAGTATAGTTCGAGCAGATCTATGAAAATCTTGAAAATTAATAGTTAAAAAATGCATTACAAGATGCATTATTTCCAAAACTTGAAATCCATGTTTTTGTTCATGTCCATGCATCTTGATGTTGAGATGATCAATTTGAAGATATTTGAGCATCAAATCAATCAACTTCTGTTAGTGAAATTTTTGAGATGCACTCTAATTTGATTGTTTAGAGCCTCGGCTGTATATAAACTTTTTCCAACTTTAATGGTCCTTTATACATCCTTGTGCCATACAGCCCATGAACCTCCAAAATTCAAAAAGAAATGGGACATAATTCCCTAATTTCATTTTTTTAGCTTTTTCTTTCTCTAAATTGCCTCTCTCTTTTTTCACTTATACCCCCACAATCCAAATCGCTTCTTGTTTTCCGTTGTCTCTCTTCTACTAAAGGTTCATGGTGGAGAGACATAACAAGATTAATCGATTGGGAAGGGATTTGGACTATGGGGGATTAGTGAAAAATAAAAGGACAAATTAGGTAAAGAAAAGGCCAAAAAAAGGGGTAGGGGGTTCTTTGATCTTGTGTTTAAAGTTTAGGTTGTCTATGGGCTACCATGTACCCGAGGGTGTATATAAGATCATAAATTTCGAAATGGAGGTTTGTCTTTTTTTCCCTAACTCAATGAGGAGACATTTAATGGACACCATATGTACCCAAATTCATGTGATTGCTTAAGGAATGACATTTTTTTATTATTCTTTCTAAAGGAAAAATAGTCAACCCCCTCCACACTAGGTAGATATTCCCCATGATCACCTTGCATAATTAGTGAATCAGGGACATGTATTGACAAACCCAAAAAACAAAAAAATACAACAGGGGAAAAGTTATATAAGATTGACGCTTTAAAGTGTAGAATCAAGGTGAACCTCAAAAATACATTGAAAATGTTGTTTTGGCTTGAAAAACAATTTAATTGATCAGCTTGACATCGAGATGTATGGTGTTGACAGTTATAAAAACCAGATATTTAGTTTCTTATGTTGAGTTTCTTATTTTGTGGGATTACTATTGTAGTGAGGTTTGTTTCCTAAAAGACAATCATTGTAACTTTGTAAATATCTGGTAAACCAGAGTAATCCCTTATGAATGAGATACTAGTTTACACTCTGTAGACATAGGCACTATTACCGAACCACGTATATATTGTGTTGATTTTTCTTTTATCTCTCCTTTATCTTTATTTCTTTTATTATAAATTCTAGAGAAAATTATGCATATATCCGTTATATTATGCGTTATTACAAATCCACCTTTCAGTTTCCGTTATTACCTCCATGTCCTTTTTTTCACTTTCATAACGAGATTTTTTTTAAAAATATGATTTACCCAATTTCGGGTGTTGAACAACAGAAATCAAAAAATTTCGGTTTTTCAACAATCGAAAACGGGAATAGGTCTTTTAACCTTCCCGCTCTAGTTACGGTTGTTCAACAACCGAAATTAGGGTTTTCTGGTGTTGAAAAACCGAAAATATAATTTCAATTTTTCAACACCCGAAATTAGTTGGGGCTCTTTTTTAAAAAAAAAAAGAGAACTATTATTGGGCTGTTACGGTCGAAGAACATCCGAAAATACTCCATCCCCCTCTTTTCTAATTTTTCTTACATACTTAACCTAAATAACTATATAATTTGGACACTAGCATTTTGACAGAGAAATAACGATATTTGATGCATTTTTTGTTCATTTGGCGGATTCCAAATTTGTAGTGAAGGTATGTATTATTTGAGGTTTTTATAACTTTAATTTTGGGATTTTTATAACTGTGAGTTTGTGGTGTTTTTTTAATTTTTGAATGATACACATGAACTATTGATTTATGTTTGTTTATTATATATTGTTCAAGAATTTGTAAATTTGGGGTTAATTATAAATCAATATCAATAACTGAATATAGTTAAATGTGTTGTTGTGCCAATGCCTATGACAATATATTTTGATTATTACGAGAGATTTCGATTATTTTTTTAAGCTTTTGAATGTTGTTTGTATCATTTTTCATTTTGGGGATTTCGTTATTCAGTAGTTGCATATGGTTGTGTATTGTGGTTGTATGGAAATGAATCCATATATAAATTGAAATATATAGATGTTATTATGTTTGTGCAGTATCTATTGATTACGCCTTTGTAAATTTGGGGTTATTGAGAACTTCAAATTTGGGGGTTTTATTATAAATTGATATCAATAACTGAATATAGTTAAATGTGTTATTGTGCCAATGCCTATGACAATATATTTGGATTATTACGAGAGATTTCTATTATTTTTTAAGCTTTTGGATGTTGTTTGTATCATTTTCATTTTGGGGATTTCGTTATTCATTAGTTGAATATGGTTATGTATTGTGGCTATATGTAAATGAATCTATATGTAAATTGAAATATATAGCTGTTATTACGTTTGTGTATTATCTATTGATTACGAATTTGTAAATTTGGGGTCATTGAGAACTTCAAATTTGGGTGTTTTATTAGTTGAATGGGTTTGTGTTTTTGTAACTATATGTAAGTGAATCCATCTGTAATTTGAAATATTTTGTGATTATATGTAAATGAATCTATCTATAATTTGAAATATATTGCTTAATATAGCACCCTCTGTTATAATTGAAGACGTATGACTTATGCTATGTTGGACTTGTAATTTCAAATTTAGTAGCTTAATATGGATTTTTATATGTTTCTTTGTGTTGTTGGATGTTGTTGTTTGTAGTTTGTTATAAATAACATTTGAGTTATAATTAAAAGCAAAAAACAATAGTTGTTTTTATTTCTTCCCCTTTTAACCAATCTTTTAGTTGTATGAAATGGAGTTTTAATGAACGTGTGCGGGTTTTGAAGTTCAATATTTCTTATAGCGTAAATTTTGACTAGGTATAGAGATGGTACAGAGATGTATAGGTACATTGTCTTGGTTATCATATAAGAACAAAAATTTTGCCTCCTTTTATACTTCATGCCCATTCCATTGTTATTGATATATATTTATTGATATATGGATTACATACGATCTCATTCTATTGTTAATGATATATGATTTACTCATATATGGATTACATACAAGTTGTAGATGTGTTAGTAACTCCATTTATAGTTGGATATGTAAATTTATTATCACATTTTTGTCTTAGAGTAGTAATGTGCATGAAAATGCATAATGCAATTTTAATATCCATGATGAGTTATTGTTGTCTTGATTTCAGTCAATATGAGTCGTGTCCATCTAGAGGGGGGATACCCAGGAGGTCCTCAAGACCCCAACTTGCTACAGCTACATCCAAACCATTCATCATATTACATATGGGAAGGAAATGCATATGAATTTATTCATCTGCTATTTCCATAAGTTTGTTATATTTTAATAAATTTTCAATTGCATATGGGAAGTACATGTGTACATATAATGTGACTTGTATGTGTTATATTTGTTATATTTCAGGAAAAGCAAGAAATTAGAATCGATGAGAAGACATTTCAATTGAACAATTGGCCAGTAACTGAAGAGCAAGTTCAATTAGTGAATGCGTCTTGGTTAGGTGCTCTGTCTATCATTCGACCAGGTCGAATTGATCATCCATTGGTTGCGGCCAATGCAGAAAGGTGGCACTCAGAGACCAATTCCTTCCACTATAACATTCAAATCGGTGAGATGACACCAGCTATATTTGATGTGTACAAGATTTTAGGATTGTTTGTGGATGGTGAGCCTGTTACATGCCGTCCTATCAATGACCTACGCAAGTTCATAGAGGATAATTTGGGTATAATCCCCATTGAAGGCAACTTGATAACTATAAAACATTCATGATTGAAGGCTAATTTTTGGGAATTGCCACTTGATGCATCCCTTGTACAAATAGCCAAATATACTCGAGCCTATCTACTCTTCCTAATTAGCTCTACCATTTTCACTGATGCATCAGTTGCAACAGTCCCAACAAGGTATCTGCAATTTGAAGATATTGAGCAAGCTAACAGATATGCATGGGGTGCTGTAGCCCTCGCATATCTATATTGTTCGCTTGGAAAAGCTTATACTTTCAAGCGAAGACATTTCAGTGGTTTTGCCACTCTTATGCAAGTTTTTGTATAGATATAAGCATAATACTTTAAACTACTTTGAAATATTTTTTTAACTTTTCATATCTTGATATAATGCAGTGCTAGTCTTATGAGCATATTATGCATATGAGACCCATACCACATAGTATATCTCTAAATATGCCAAGGACAAAAAGGTGGGAGTCACCCAAGCATTATTATGGCAATCCACATAATTTGATGCCTCCCATTAGACAAGAGTTAGATAACCTCCAACCAAATGAGGTCAGTTTGTACTTTGATATTCAATACGTTCAATTATAGTTTGGTATTTGTAATTTTTGTATTGACTGATTGTCATACGTGTGATTGCACTTCATATAACAGGTAATATGGAATCCGTACTTCAAGTCTGATGAAGCAATTTCAGATGATAGGCATGAGGCATTCGAAGCTGCAATGTGCGTAATCTTTGATGATATTATCGAGCCATATATGTCAGATCGTGTTTGTCGCCAATTTGGAGCTAAGCAGGGCATTCCAAGAAATCATTTCTCTGTTGGTAAGAGGTCCAGCAAATATGGTGAGCAGAGAGATTGGCGAAATGTCAATTCTAACAAGATTCATCATTGGTTATCTTGCTATGATCACATGATGACAAACATTGAAGTTAATACTGTGAATGGGTTGGCCTCACAGGAGTACAAGGCATGGTACAACCGAGTGTCTCATCCTATCATACACAATGTCGCTAACCCACCTATTGATATTTTGCAACATCATAACCAAGAAGAAGAAGAGGTGGTTCCTGCACATGAATCACAATATATAATAAGACCTCGAGGTTATGAGGATGATTTGGTATGCATATTTTAACCTACAAATTATTTTAGTTTTGTATTTGTCAATCAGTTTGTATGTTTATTAGCCTACAAAATGTTTTTGCAGGTTAGTGCAGTTCAGGCTAGTACAACCATATTATCAGAGGCACTTACACTTAGACAGAAGTGGTACCCTAAAGTATATAGTCACGTTAACGCGTTTGAAATGTTGTCTAAGTTTGTGCCAGCTAACATGGAAGATATGGAAGCCATGATGGAATTGTTACAACGTGAAGTTAATGAAGAAGCTATACAAGAAGTAGTGGGTAAGAGTAGTTGAGCTATTGTTGATGACTTGGCTCTATCCACACAACCTGTAGTTGAGGAGCATAGAAGACATAACACGAGACAGAAGCAGTATCAGCCAAAGAGAAGGCGGCATCCATAATTGTATTTTTTTAGCAATGTAATGGTCATTTTACCGTTGTAATATTATGAAAGGACAATGTAATGGTCATTGAATACAATTGTATTGTTTCTTAAGGATGTTGTAAATGACTCTAATTTTTTGGGAATTCTTTGTACTTAGTCGTATTATATATAGGGTGTGGTTTCTATAAGGTTGCAACCTTAAACAATCCAATTAAGGTGCACCTCCTAATTTTATCATAACATGCATTAAAAATGCTTATGATAAAATGCATCTAAAAATGCACCTCCTAATTTTATCATAACATGCATCTAAAAATCTATTTTCACATCTAATTATAAAATTTTAAACTTTAAAAATGTTAAAATCAAGTAGATCTATATGGAAATCTTCAATGTTCAAGTAGATCTATAAACATTTGAATATTGTTTTAAATGTTAAAAAATGAATGTTCAAGTAGATCTATAAACATAACAGTAAAATACTGTTTAGAATGTTAAAAAAAGAAAAAAAAACATTTTCGTCTGTTGAACACCCGAAATTGCTCTAATTTCAGTTGTTCAACAACCGAAATTTTGATTTCGGTTGTTGAACAACCAAAATTATAGAAATTTCAGTTGTTGAAAAACCAAATTTCTGACTGTAAATTCCATAAGCTCCTTGGATTTTTACAGTCAGAAATTCGGTTGTTCAACAACCGAGATTCTGACTCAAAAAAATGTTCATTTCGGTTGTTGAAATCAACATTTCGGTTCAAGAACCGAAATCAACATTTCTGTTCAACAACCAAAACAACCAAAATTTTGATTCAGAAAAATGTTCATTTCGGTTGTTGAAATCAACATTTCAATTGTTCAAACACCAAAATTCTAATTAAAAAAAACGGAATCAACATTTCGGTTGTTCAACAACCGAAATTCTAATTAAAAAAATGGTTGATTTCGATTGTTCAACAACCGAATTTCTGACTGTAAAAATCCAAGGAGCTTTTGGAAGTTACAGTCAGCAATTCGGTTGTTGAATAACCGAAATTGCTAGAATTTTGATTGTTCAACAACCGAAATTTTGATTTCGGTTGTTGAACAACTGAAATTCTAGTAATCTCGATTGTTCAACAACCGAATTTCTGACTGTAAAAATCCAAGGAGCTTTTGGAATTTACAGTCAACAATTCGGTTGTTGAATAACCGAATTGCTAGAATTTCGGTTGTTGAACAACCGAAATTAGAGAAAGTTCAGTTGTTCAACAGCCAAATTTTTTTTTTTTTCATTTTTTAACATTCTAAACAATATTTTACAATGTTATGTTTATAGATCTACTTGAACATTTATTTTTTAACATTTAAAACAGTATTCAAAACAGCATTTTACAACGATCTAACTTGAGAATTCTTGAGTTGAACCAGTAGGCTTGGGATTAGTCCAAGTCGGATTTAAAACTATGACATAGACATTGTTACGTTTTCTTTTATTTGCCATACAACACTTGTTTGTGCTATTTCATTTCCATCTTAGGAAAATATTTTGTAGGGTCATTGTTTGTGCTATTTCTTTTCCATCTTAGGAAAGCATTTTGTTGTGCACCAAATAAGCTGCAAATTGTTCATACCTCTTTGGAAGGACTAGATTCCTAGCCATATATATAGCAATTTCAGTTGTTCATAAGCATTTTTAAATCACTCATTTTATTAATTCCACACAAGATTGACTGCTAAATCACTCATTTCATTAATTCATCAAATTGTTAATTCCATTCTAACACATAAGATTGACAACAAATAATTCACTCTATGTATGCCTTCCTATTATGACCCACTGTGCGCATCGTTTGCATTTTATAGGCCTGGTGATGGGTTGTTCAGTCTCATATATTTTTCGTCGTTTTTTTGGTCTACCAGGAAGGTCTGTCGTCCTTAATGGCAACATTGTACGGTTGAACATACCAGTCAACTCAATATCATCCAGGACAGGCCCAAAGGGAGTTTGAAAGGCCCTTTTAAATGTTTCAACTGTTAAATACTAAAGGCAGTACGCTGTGGGATCCAAATTCATACGCTTAATAGCCGCAATCGCATGAGTACATGATATGTCACTCAGTTACCATTATCTACAATTGCATGTCTAATGAATTAAATCGACAGCGTACTTCTTCCCAAGATAGTAGATCTCAAGCTGTGTATCCATGGTAGATATAACTGTATGAAAAAATCTAGCCTCCATCTTTCGCAAGTCCAGTAAATCTTGGGCTTTTGGTACTGGCTGGTCGGTCCAACTATTACCTAACTCCATCTTCTTTTCAAACCTGGTCATCAACTATACCATTATTTCTTCACACATTGTAATGTTCGGCTTATCTCGAACAGACATTATCCAAGCATTGGATGACTCGGCTATATTAGAGGTAAGATGATTGTATCTTGTCCCTGTAAAATAAGCATCTGCCCAATATTCGGGACGGATATTCTTAATCTACTCATATGCATCTGGGTCGACACATTTTATGTCAAATATAATTTTTTCAAACCCACTAATGGTTGCTTTACGGGCAGCCTTCCAAAACAACATGAGCAATACTTCAATGTTTGCTGACATGAAGCCCTTGAAGTTCTCTCCCATATATCGTATGCAGAATGCTGGAAAACACATGCGAAAGCATTTTTCTATGGCTTATGGTAGAATTTTCTGTCGATCTGATATAATTGTTAAGGCAGACAAATTAGAAAACTCATATAATAGCTCACTCAGTATACTAAAAAACCAATACCAACTCTGGTAGTTCTCCTTCTCGACTACTGTAAATGCCAAAGAAAATAGCCAATTATTTGCATCTATAAAAATGATGCACAATAATATGCCTTGATACTTTCTTTTTAATAATGTCCCATCAATACCAATTAGTGACATGCATCCATTAACAAAACCCATGATGCATGGACGGTAAGCAATGAATAATCGTTTGAACCTGTTTTCATCTATGTTGATGCGAACTACGGTTCCTGGGTTGGTTATTCGAAGCTTCTACGCATAGAAGGGGAGGTCATGATATTGTTGTTCTTGTGATCCATCTATCATATCTCTAGTAAACTCTTTTCCCCGCCAAGCTTGCATGTAGGAAAGCCTGACGCCGTGATCGCATTAAATAACATTTACAATATCTTTAGCTTTAAGTTTTGGTTAGTCAATAAGGCGAGCATTAATTTTTTGACCACCCAATCACCACGAGCTAGTGGCTGATGGACCCTCCTTAACCATAGATTTAACTTTGAAGTAAGTCGTACCGCCAACTCGTAAGCATCGCCAACTCGTAAGCATCGCACTTGCCATGTGCATCCCTCTGCCTTACAACTTGCCCATACCCATCCCAATTCACTTTTGTCAAACTTCAGAATAAAATTATTGTGAATTGCAAAATCTACAAGATGATGCTGACATTCATTGACACTTTCAAAAAATTGTCCTATATTCAATTGAACCTCATTACCAACTCCTCTATATGGGCTCTTTAGTGGTTCAATATCCTCCATATCACGCTTTGGTACATGCTCAAGGTCAAGCGCCACTTTAATGTTTTGATCTTGATCAGGTAAAGTGTTACGTCGACTATTGACAAAAGATATAGTGTAAGATGAAGCAACAATAAAATTTCTATGCATAAAAGAATAAATTAAAGCAAATTATATATGAAAAATTAAATTATAGATATACCTAGTTCTTGAAGATGGACATTCACCAATAGATTCTTGTTCTGGCTCCATTGTAGATGCAATATATACAACAATTTTTGAAGATTCCCCTCCCAACATAAAAGATACATCTACATCATCACTTACATCAATCAAATCAAGCCCACTAGAAAGACTTGTGTTGTGGTACCTAATAGTTAAATTGTTTGGATCACACATTGTTAAATTACCGAAATGACTTTTTATTTCCTCCAAAGAACTATTTCCATTATACTTCGTAACCTTCAATTTCCCCCCCTTGTAAAAAATACGACCATCATCTGCATTCATCTCAAATGACCCCCCATATCGGAATACCAGTTGCACTCCCTCAATAACCATCGTCAATGCTACTGTATTAAATGAATAACAAAATTTGTGTCACTATAAATTGATACAATAAAGAATACAAAAATTTTGGATATTTCTAACTACTTTATGGTTCATAAAAAGTGAGTATTACATAACAAATTCAAATAGTGTACTACTATAAAAGGACAAATAATCAATAAAGAACAAAAATAACAAATACTCAAACAAACTCCAAATAAACAACAAATATGGACACAAACCAACAAGTTCAACAATTTTGACCCAGTACAATAAATAAAATGTATCAACATAAAACAAACAATACATATTTATACAAACAATAAGTAATTATACAAAGAAACAAGTTCAGCAATATTTTAACAAATATTACTTATTAATCAACAATACATCAAAATTACAAATATAGTACTATGATATTCTAGTCTATTCATTGCGACAAAACTAACAAAAAACAATAAAAAAACATAAGGCAAGAGAAAGTACGGTATCAATCACGACCGCAGAGCAATCTCGTGGGATACTGTATTAGACGTATGATATTATATTTCTCGTTTTTTCCCAACTTTATACCCTAAAAAACTTTCTTACAGTAGAAGCGCGCGAAGTATTGGCGTGAACATTTTTGGTTAATCAAAAGCCGAAGTCCATAAATTTTCGGTTGTTCAAAAATTGAAATCATGCTTTCGGTTTTTGAACAACCGAAAATATAATTTCGGTTGTGAAAACAACGCACTCCATGGTTTCAAATTTTGAACAACCGAAATTAGGTTTTCGGTGTTGAAAAACCGAAATTAGATTTTCAGTTTTTCAACACCAGAAAACCCTAATTATGGTTGGTAAACAACTGTAACTAGA